CAGTACTTCATTCATTACCTATTGACCCTTCACGTTCAGTACTTCATTCATTGCCTATTGATTATTCACGTACAGCACTTCATTTACTACCTATTGACCCTTCACGTTCAGTACTTCATTCACTACCTATTGACTCTTCACGTTCAGCACTTCAATCATTACCTATTGGTCATTCACGCCCAGTACTTCATTCATTACCTATTGACCATTCACGTTCAGAACTTCATTCATTGCCTATTGATCCTTCACGTTCAGCACTTCAATCATTACCTATTGATCATTCACGCCCAGTACTTCATTCATTACCTATTGACCATTCACGTTCAGTAATTCATTCACCACCTATTGACCTTTAATGTTCAGTATTTCATTCACTACCTTTTGACCCTGCTCGTTCAGTACTTCATTCATTACATATTGACCCTTCATGTTCAGTATTTCATTCACTACCTATTGACCCTTCTCGTTCAGTACTTCATTCATTACATATTGACCCTTCATGTTCAGTATTTCATTCACTACCTATTGACCCTTCTCATTCAGTACTTCATTCACCACCTATTGACCTTTCACGTTCAGTATTTCATTCACTACCTATTGACCCTTCTCGTTCAGTACTTCATTCATTACATATTGACCCTTCATGTTCAGTGCTTCATTGTCTTCCCATCCTGGAATTTCTGATGCAAAAATCAAACCAAGAAGAACATTCGACAATGACTACTACTTAGCTTCATCATCATTATTTCAGTTTTCTTTGACCTAGTTTAATGTCAGGGTTAATAGATTCAGAATATGACATTAGGGTATTTTTTCCTTCCTCTTTCTGCAGGTGATCGGTATCTGAGGGGTGTGAATTGATCGATCACTAACGACTCTTCCCTGCTCATTAAGGTACTTAATTAGCGTATGATTCTCATTCGTGTTATTGAATTATCTAAAAGCCATCTGCTAAAACACCTGATGATGACAAAACCTTGTCGAAACGTTGTACATTTGCTGTCATGTTAAACTTATATTAAAGTTTTTCTTCATTACCCATTTAAGCCGTCTCCAGCCATTATTAGTCTCAAAGTGGGTTCCTCGTCATCGAATCTGCTAAAACAGTATAACAAAATGGCTGCACTGTAGCGTACGTTCTAAAACCGAGTTATCTTGCTTGCAGCTATAAAATGTTCGACGAGCAATAAGAACATACAATTTCAGCTTGGCTCATTAACAAGTAAACGCATTAACAGTTTGAATCGTAGAATTTATCTTTATTAAATATATTCTCTAAAGAAAGCGATAACACTACTCACTATTCAGAACTTCTAAACTTGGCAAAAATAGAAGTTTTGTAACTAGCTCATGAATCATGTTATCAGTTATAACTATATGAAATTAGAAATACATTAGGTGAAGTATTATTTAGCTT